TTGACATATTTCCATTGATACTATGTTTTGTGTGGAGATATAAAATTATGTCAATAAAATTACATTATGCTGACAAAATCTTGTAGGTCCAAAAATACAATCAAATATTTTAACTTAACTACTTTCAGACTTTTTCATCAATTTTGGGTGTGACAAATGTTAGTTATGCTTGGTGTGTTTTTCCCCTTGCCTTGTTTTTTGTGCATTGATGGAAGGAGCAGTCATATTGATAAAGGTTCAAGACCTACAGAATGACAAGGATGTACGCTTAGTCAAGCTTTTGCAACCAGTGTCAAGGTGGATTATCATGTCGCTGTGAAATACCAGCTGGCAAGCTCTCCTTGTGCAGTAACATCAATTTTTTGATTCCATTTAACAGTAGTCATGAATGACGTCTCTGCCGACTCTTTCTTTTCAGCATGTCCAATTATCACATCCCAATACAGAACACTTTTGAACCCTATGGTAGTTTCCCCTTTAGGTCCATATCCAACACGCATTGTTGCTTGTCTTGCCAAATATTGTGCTTGAGGGTTCCAAATTATCAATGTAGCAGATGGAGACGACGTTCAGGGTGTTTCACCAGAGCAACACAGATGCCATATGGCTATTGAATGTGCAGAGATGATGTGTTCAACTTTTGACCATCAATATTCAAAATATTGCCCAAAGACACCTCAAATGAATATGGAAGGAGAGGTGAACCAGAACGACAGACAATCATCTGGCGTTTAGATGTTTCCAAATGCATTGGAGACTTCAGCATGATATGGCCTTATGTTCTCGCACAAAACCACTATTTTCTTTGTATTTGAATACTTTGTCTATTCTTTGTATCTGCAGAAATTCATCTTCATACTAAGTTGTACATCATCAAAGGATTCATCAGTAACCATGGGCCAGGTATGCTGGAGGCTGTGGTATCATCTATAACAAAGGGGACAGTGGTCCCAAAAGTCGCGTGGGAGCACATTTTTTCGCTTAGTTTTGCTCACGTGGTTTTTTGTGGCACCATGGGTGTGGAAGGTGCCGCAGGCACCTGAAAGTTGCAGCAAAGCTGCAACGAGTGCAACTCATCTATAATGAAGGGGACAGTGGTCCCAAATGCTGCATGCAAGTCACGTTGCATCGGTTATTTTGCTTAGTTTTGCTCGCGTGGTTTTTGTGGCAACACAGGAGCAGCAGTATGGTGGTGGTGAACGCAGTGAAAATTGTAGCCACATTGAAATTCTCACGTTTATAAGGACAGACAGCACAAGTTCACTGACTTCTGACTAAGTAAAATTTGATCACTTAACTGTATTATTAATACTCAAAAGATAGTGTGGAGTAGCTCAGTCAAGAGTAATGGAATGCTTACAGTCAATCTATCATAATTGGGGAATAACTTGCTTTATTCATAGTGCTGAAGGTAAGGGAAAAACATATCTCTGTAATACAATTGCTGCTGCTGCTTGAGCAGGACATAATCATAATGTTGCTCTATGTGTAGCATCCTCTGAGATTGAATCCCTGCTCTTGAAGGGTGGCTGCACAGCTTATTCACACTTTGGAATCCCTATTCCTGTACATGAAACATCCACATGCAGGATTCCAAAAAACTCTGGCCTCCATAAGGTATTGAGACATACCGGAGTTATAGTCTGGGATGAAGCGCCAATGCAACACCGTCATGGGATTGAAGCATTAGATTGTACATTGCGGGACATTTTGGATAATCAACTTCCATTTGGAGGCATTACAATGGACTTTGGAGGGGACATCCGCCAAACAACACCTGTTGTTCAAAGAGGGTCAAGGCAACACATTATTTCTGCCTCTCTTAGAAGGTCACAACTGTGGAAAAATATTCATGTCTGCTATCTCACACAGAACATGTGCCTGGACCATACTCCAGAAAGTGAAGCCTTTGCTAGCTGGCTCCTGGATGTTGGTGGTGGTCGTGGAATTGCAGGAGATGGAACTATTGAGCTTCCCGCCAACATGCTTATGCCAGAAAATACCATAGACTCATTAGTCGACACTACCTATCCTGGAATTGCAAATAGAGACAAAGATGATCATTATTTCCTCCACCGCACCATCCTCTCCACAAAAAATGATGCCGTTAGCAACCTTAATTCAGCAATCCTCACAAAATTCCCTGGAGAAGAGTTAGTAGCTCTGTCAATTGATAAAGTGGTTGGAGAGGGGCATGAACATTATCCTGTGGAATTCTTCTTGAACTCTTTGCAAGTATCTGGCCTTCCTGAAGTGCACCTCAAACTTAAAGCTGGATGTCCACTTATGCTCCTCTGCAATATTGATCCCCTAAATGGACTCTGTAATGGAACACGCATGATTTTGATAGAGATGAAGAGAAGAGTATTGAAGTGCCGTGTCTTGGGAGGAAAACATGCAGGAAATATAGTTTTTATTCCACGCCTCACATTAGAACCTTCATCAGAAGAATTGCCCATCAAGCTATCACGTTGTCAATTCCCTGTCTGTGTTGCCTTTGCCATGACTTTCAACAAGTCTCAAGGTCAATCAGTGACACAGGTTGGGCTGGATTTACGTGTTCCAGTGTGTTCACATGGGCAAGTTTACATTGCATTGTCTAACTGCACTTCAGGAGAGAAAATAAAAGTGCTATTTCCACATGGTTCAAATGGCAGACGTACCGTCAATGTGGTGTATCCCAAAATTCTGACTGGCTTTATCCGTGACTGGCAAGTAGATTTTTCCCCAATTTTCACCCTTTTTACTAAAGTGTTTTATTCTCAGATCATATTTTTGTCGTGTACCATTTCTGGAGTCTCTTTTTTTATTTCTCATCAATTTATCAATGTAATACCATAGACTTTTTATGTTATAATATATGTTGATGTTTGTAAAGATTCAATGAACCATCTGCTTGATTCACTATACTGTGCAAGTTTAGGGCAGGCTTATAAGGACATTCAATGAAAGAACTGCAAGTCAAACATGCATCATAGGATTCAAAGACTTAACATACATTACAGACAGCATAAGTTCACTGACTTAACATTTTGATCACTTAATAGTATTATTTTTTATCATATAGCAAAAACATCGCACCAGTGGCAGAGCCACAGGCTGGACCTCGTTCTATGTGTGCCAGCAGGGAGAGGCGCTGGACATCCATGAGGCCAGTGATCTTAGTCATGATGGTGGACGTATCAATATGCAATTGAGAGATCAGTGGCAGCCGTGATGCATGCTCAGTGTGGGTTGTCAGTTGCAATTATGTGCAAACCTGGAATCTAGTGTGACCAGGAGTAGTCAGTGGAGTATTCCTGGACCCATAAAAGGATCCTCGTTCCGCATATGTTTGTTGGAATATCCTGCAAAAAGCCGAAGTGAACAAGAATACATGTTTTACTGTGAGTGCAGGTGAACGTGACACAATCATAGAAGACATGTGATCAGTTGCGCCTGACTTAACAGCAATGATTTCACAATGGGAGCACTATCCTGGTGCAGCCCCTTCTAATTGGCAACAAAAATGTGCTATGAAAGTTCTCAACCGATTGAAATTTTTGGCAAAGGATCTGAGGGGTAGTTTTGGATACAAATTGTGCAGGAGAAATGAAATACGTGTTTTAATTAAAATGTTCTCCACCCCCACATTTTTTGTTACATTGAATTCTGCAGACATCTATAATCCACTTCTCGGCATTATAGCTGGGATGGCTCCTGACCGCTGGTTGGAAATGTCAACATTTGAACGTGCAGTGTTTGTTGCTAATAATCCTGGCCCTGCTGCTCAATTCTTCGATAAAATGACATCTGTTACGATACACAATTTTCAGACCTTTACTTTTCATTCTCCTATTTAACTTTCTTCTATAGTTTTCACACACTGTGCCATGCGGCACTTTCCTTTTGTTCAAACTCCACCTTCTTGCGCTGCGCTGCATTTCTTTTATTTTTAGATACAAGTATCTCATGCAGTGGAGCTGGTCACACGGGCTGCACCGTCTGACATCATCAGCCACTGCTTTCATCAACTATACAGTACACATGTACAAACAAACTGTAGTAGTATATATACCCCAATAGATTAAGGAGACTCCTCAGTGAGTCCTCCTGTTGTTTACCCACAACTAACTCAGTCCTATCTTAAGGGGTAACCACTCCCTCTCATTACTCTTTTGCTTGTCTGAGTTGTGCGCCAGAGTAACTAACTCTTGGTTGTTACAATATCAGCATTCCTTGACATCATTGTGCAAAGCCATCAGCCCCCTGGTTTGTTCGGACATTGCATTGCACACTATGGAATAGTCAAAGCACAGGGCCGTGGAACACTGCACTGCCATATGCCCTTGTGGATTAAAGGAAATCCTTCGCCCCAAGATCTGAGAGACAAGATGGCTGATAATGAAGAGTATCAGTGTTCCATCTTTACCTGATTGGAAAGCACAATCTTGTGTCACCTACCTGGCAATGAAACTGTAACTACAGAGACTCCTGGCTTGCCATTACCAGAACCTTTCCGGCTATCTGGACAGCAAGATGCTCATTTGACAATGCAGCCCATATATGCTGACATGGATGAAGATGAATTTGCCGCAGCTTTTCAGGACACTGTCCATCAGCTTGCTGTCAAATGCAACTGGCATCAACATACTGAAACCTGTTGGAAACATCTTAAGCCAGGAGAACCTCGTGATGATCATCACTGTTGAATGTGGATCAATGGAAACACTCGTGCCTTGACTGAACTTGATGCAGAGACACAGTCTATTCTGTTAAAAAGGTTGCACCCCTGCATTAATAATTTCAATGATCTTGTGCTCTTCTTGTTCCGGTGCAATATGGATCTAAAGTACATTGGCTCTGGAGAAGCCGCCAAAGCTCTGGTTTATTATGTGACAGATTATATCACAAAATCACAATTACCTACACATGTTGGCCTTGCAGCTATTTTATATGCTATTTAACAGAACGAGACCAATTTCAATGTTGAATTGGGCACATTATCCATGGTCAACAGAAGTCTGTTCACAAAAACTATTAATGCCATTATGGGGCAATAAGAGATATCCCATCAACAAGTGATGAGTTACCTGATTGGAGGTGGCAACTATTACACCAGTCACTCATTCAAGTTGATCAAGTGGCGTGTCTTAGACACTTTTGTTCAAACATTTTTTGAACCTCAATTGGCGTGTGATGATGACCTAGATGAGCAAAGTATCGATGATGATGGTGATGATATTGTGGAGGACGAGTGGGGGTACCTTAACGGCTCTGGCATGGAAAACTACAGTGATGGTCATAATATCTCGGATGGAACACAAGAGCTCAATCTGTTGATTGGAGATGGTGCTCCAACAATGTCAAATAACATACTTGACTATACATTACGGCCATCTGTCAATGTTTTTCAGTGCATGTCTCTCTGGGAATTCAACCAATGGACAGCCAAGATAACAAAAGCCAGCGATAATCTCCTTGTCACTGCCCTCGACACCAGCACTGCTGCAAACATGGTAAGTGGGACTTCACTTTTGCGTACACTTCAAATCTGGCATTCATGGCAGGTGTGAATATAATGCTTGACATCCTGTAACATATGGGGCCAGTAAAAGCGCTCTCTGACTGTAGAGAATACACCATTGACTCCTCTGTGACCAAGCCTTTCATGTGCTTCAGTAAGGATGTGAAGTCGAAGATTGGGATTGAAGATGACTTTGAGAGGAGGAGCAGAGTGACAACGCTTAAACATGCTGTCTCCTTTCAAGAAGAATTGAAGTGATCGCTTGACAAAGCGCTTTTGAGCTTGAAGAGAGGAAAATATAGGCAGCTCCATAGTTTGAAGAAAGTGGAAGATTTGATGAAAAGTATTGTACTGAGAAGAATCATTTGTAAGGAACAAAGGGAGTGACATAGGGTGATATGGGAGAGGTCTGGCAAGATCAACAAGAAGGGCGATATCATCAAGCCAATCATCTGATTCTTGAGCATCTCCAAAGTCTTCCTCTGTTGGTTGATGACGAGATAATGCACCAGGACCACAATGACGATCAGCAGGTATGTGAATGAGCTAGAAATCAAAGAGAAGGATGCCCTGAACCCAACAATTGATAGTGGCATTAGGCTGAAGATCTGGATCATTGAGCATGCCTTTGATATGCTTGGCATCCACCTCCACATGTAAGTGTTTTACTCCTGCAATGTAAAGGCAAAAATGACGAAGTGCTCAGACCTGTGAAAGAGAAGTCTACTATTTTGTCATGCTCTTGTACAACGGATTGCACCTTTCACTGCACAAACCATTGCTGGCCAGACAGCTTTACACGGTGTACTCCTTTGGCGTCAAGTTAATAAAGTGGTGATCTTGAAAAAAAACTGGTGTGCTGCTACAGATGCCCCATTTGCAAACCTCTTGATGTATATTAATGACGGGATTGCTTGGTCTGGCAAAGAACCTATGACACCGCAACAGTTGGGCACTGGCACAAATTACCAATCTGCTGACTATGATACATTGATGAGTTGCAGATTGCAACAAATCACCGCCGCAAACCCTGCATCCCTGGATGAATTCAAGCATTCGCCAATTGTAGTAAGGAAAAAGAAAACCAGAGACGCACTCAACCTACATTTAACAAAGTGACATGCGCTAGAAACCACCCAGGAATTTCACTTGTACAGATCTCTGGATTATCATTCCAAAATGCCCTTGCCTCACAGGTTGCAGCGAGAAGTCTAGAGAGCATCCTCTTTGTAGTCCAAGGATGCTCTTGGCCTCCTACCCCTAGTCCCTGGAATGAAAGTTATGGTGATGGAAAACATGGCAATTGAGGTGAACATTGTTAATGGATCAGAGGGAACATTGCATTCCATCAAATACTTATTAACAGGAGGAGGCTATTGCATTGCAGAGTGTGCATATGTGCACCCCCCCCAGCTCATAGTTGTAAACCCCTTCTCTTGCACCCAAAATTGTCCCTGTATGTCCACTAACATTGCACTTTCTATACAAAAACACTGACCTGGACTTGCAAATGAATGTCACTCGAGTACAGCCACCAATTGTTCCTGCCTATGCGTTTACAGACTACAAAGTCCAGGGACGGTCACTCCAAAGAGTCCTTGTTGACTTGTCAAATTGCAAAACCCTGCAAAGTGCCTATGTTATGCTCTCCCGTGCAAAGTCACTGGCTGGTGTGGTAATAATACGCTGGTTTAGCCCTCATAAGGTGCAAAAACCACTCAGTGACGAGTTTGAACGAGAGTTTGCAAGATTGAAGGCACTAGATGTTGAGACGAGTGAAGATTTTCATTGTCGAGGCGCTCATTAGGTCAGTAACACAATCTGGATCCAAATACGTCACTTACCTTTGTCCTGCTGCAGTTTTATTCCCATTTGACTCCTTACAATGGTGGCCTATAGAAATATGGTGCAAAAGAGGAGGATGTATTGAGGGGGAAAGCAAAGTAGCATACCACTGAGCTTCTTGTAGGGTATCATATTCTCGTTGAACCAAGTGTCAATGTTGGTGATTATATCCATTTTGGTGCATGGACATGTTGAGGTGGGGTAACATGCGTGTTGTATTGCATACTGTTGGTAACAAGAAGTTGTAAATCGAATCATTGTATAGAATAATTTAAACGAATGCAAAAATCAAACAAAACTGACGAGGAAAAGCTTACCAGATAACATAAACAATCATCCACCCGCTGAACACAAACTTGCGCTTGAGGATGAAAATGAGGGCCTAAGACATATTATATGTGAGTAAAATATATCAAACAAAGCTCGATGAAAGAATTGTGTTGGTGATGGGACAAAGTCCTGAAGAAGGTGAGTGACTTGTTGCTCAAAAATCCTGTGCACCACTACATTGTGCTGTTTAGATGCGGCGCCAAAATTTATGAGATCGGGAAATCCACAGGCCCACACAACTTGCCAGAGGACATTTGCAGAGAGCTTGGCAGACACAGGCAGCATTGTGGTGGGTTATGAACAGAGGGCTTTTCCCCTTCTTTGCACTCATACTACCACAATTTTCATGAAGTGAGCTGCCAGCATAGACCCCGAACATACAGTCCCTAGGGTCTTGCAACATTTGATGTATTTAGCTCCTTTACGGTTTCTCTATGCCGTGATCTCTCATTTATCTCTTTAGCATTTATGTCTTTCATACAAGGTGCGTGTATGTGCAGTGTCAGAGTATATAACCATTTACCAAACTTTCTAGATCGTAATCATACTCTCATGCGAGACCAGTGGGGGGATAAAATAACTGAAGAGTGAAAACCAGCCTGGAAAGACCTTGCAGGCAACTGGGAACGTGTGCCATACGGATATGACACTATCTGTGAATGGACATATGTTTCTCATACAGGTCAAGATTGATCTCGCAGGCTCCAGTACCATGTCCTCTACAAGGAACCCAGGGAGCCGGCCAACGTGATCTACCCATTTGGCTTCAAGGTTTCCTCGGGAGATATAATCTCTCGCATTTTGGGAACTGGAACAGGTAAGCTTTCTGACTAAACATACACTAAGACACATGCAGTGATCCTGATCGTGTTACCAGCACTTTTCAACACCTCACTCTCCAAGGAAAAGGGCATGACATGCCTTGGAACGGGTCCCTCCATGCCATTACCAATATGCAATGTCTTATCCATGCTTCTTTATGCATTGATGGGCAAAAGGATGGGCAGCCGATCACGGATAATTGTGATCTGTACTTGTCCCACCATGTATTCACTAGGGTTGGTAATATTTTTGCTGCTTTCAAAATAGTTTTACACGCTGATATGAGCAACAGGTCAATAATGAGAATGAGAACCATACAGCATTAAATGATAGAACAGATGACCATTCCAGTGCTGCAACCACTTTTAGCAACAAAATTATTCAATGTACTACTTGCACTAAGGAAAGGCTGTGCACAGGAATAATGAGGTGCAAGTGCCATCTCTGCAAACAATTGTGCAGGATGAGGACAATCACATTGCTGAAGTGGCAGGACAGAACTTAGATCCTACTAACACAAGGTTAGTGTAGCTCGCCTCTCTACGTCTAACTATACTAAATATGTGTTCTGCTCACAGCAACAACAAAACTGCACCATAGGAAATGTAAGTGATGTTGATGAAAAATTGTGTATCCACTAACACACTACACCAGCATGGTTCAAAGTGATTCGACCAACTCCAAGTTGTCAACATCCGATATGGGACATCTCACCGCTAATAAAGCAACAGACTCATCTGAGTCCAAGAATGTCAACATTCTGCCAGGGTAGGTCATGTTTGCGTGCCGTGCACAGACGCTGCCTTATGCTGTACACATATAGGGATGTTCTGTTGGATCAGCCACTATATTGTACTAATGCTCTTTGCAATAGCCACATTTTCAAGTTGGCAGGCTATGCGGATGATAAGATGCACACATACTCCATTAACAAACTGCCCTCCAAAGGCCTGCAGTGGGGAACTCGGACCAAGTTTCACAACAAGAGCCATATTCTCTGTGAAGGGAACGGCAATAATCCATCAACAATCTGGATTGCAGGTCAAATCTCAGGCTTATGGTTTTTTGATAAGAATGGCACACCTTCTGAGCATGTTGCAATTACTGTGGTGCCATTTTCTGTGGATGCCACCGGAATTGCTCGCAAGATGCTGTCCTTGAAATCAACACCCACCTTAGGTACCTGTCTCCATTCACTTTCTTGTCATGTAAGTACTGAATGTCATCACAGAAATAGCAGAATCAGACTGGAGCGCTGTACGCTTTGCCAGATAGCAGAACAGCCGTGTACAAGGCAGTGACAACTTTGTGAGATTTTGAACACCCTAGAACTACACCTGTACTTACCATAAGCTACACAGGTGCAGCCTTTCACAGAAGTATTTGACGCTTGTGACACTTTTACGAGCAAGCACAAGATGACCACTTATCCCATATCTGATCTCAACCTGAAGGACATTGTTTTGATTGAAGCTTGGGTCACACACTACAGGAAGAAGGATCGAACATCATCAATGGGCTCACCCGACGCCTACAAATGGGTGAATTGGGTGGCTAGTTTTGAACTGCAGAGTGTCTCTCTACTTCACAGGCCTGACAGCACAGAAGGTGAAGGAAATTCAATTGACACTGTCATTGAGATTTGACAAATGCGTCAACCTTTTTTTCCCTCTGTACACGTTCTTCAATTTACAGCTTCATCTGCTTTTGATTTTTGTCTATTTTACAGACTTTACGTGTTACAGCACGATTTCAACATCCTGCCTATGGCAGATAATACCTTTGACTTGCGATTTTGTGCTTCTACCCATACGTCTCCAATACTCCTATATGCAATGACAAATATACATACCCCTTGCTTTTGTACTCCAATGACGCTTACATGATGTAACTGCAATGGTACATGCTTATTAACTAAATACCAGCATCCCCTTGTTGAAAATCTGTTGCTTTTGTCGTTCTCGTCAATGTTTCTATCTCCATCAGACAGTGAAGTGTTGGACTGTATCAATAAATGCCTGGTCTCCAAACCTGAACAAAGCACTGCAAAGATCTTAAACACGGTAAAAGACATCCACCCAGACTGGGTCATAGGCAAAAAGGTATATTCTAAACATCATAACCACATTGTACCTGATGCCGAATCTGCTACGCCAGAAAGTGGATTGCCTAAAGCAATTGAAGAACAGATACACATTGTGCGCTGTGATACATTGCTAATAAGCCATTGCACAGCCTGGAAGATATTTGAAACTCCATTCAACCAATACCTATCAAAACAAATATATTTGCTGTGGAGGCACTGAACAAGATGGCAACTATTATGGAATGGAACACTGCCCAGCCCATCAGTCAATTCTATGATTGAATTAATGGTTGATTTGAATGGAACTATGAAGCTTACCGTCAATTGCTCACAGCACCATTGCAACTGCCAAAAAACTATGTCACAGAGTTTGTCAGCAGTTCCAAATCCCAATTTGACTGTAGCGGCCCCCTTGTTGTCATGAAAAATGCACCACTACATGTTCAATCATCAATCTCACCATTATTCAACACAGATAAACTAGCACATACCTTATGGTGGTACCATGCAAGCGGAACAGATATCAGCAGTGTTTGCGCAGAAAAAACACTACTCCACATGCTGAAGGACCTGTAGATTATGAATTCCGATAAACCAACGACGTCATAACCATCCAATGAAACCACAAATGATATAGTAATCCAGAGCAAAGTGATCTGCTATCAACAAAGGAAAATAAAATGCACATGAGTTTAGAGGGCCGAGCACAAATTAACATCTACTTTCAGTCAGCCTCAATGCCTGTCAATAGAAAGGTAAGTTTAACCTGCTGCGCTGCCCCAGAACCTGACAAGTTGCTGTAGAACACAAATATCAGGGCGTACAAATTCACATCAACAGCTGCATCATACATCAACATTGTGTGCTTCCAACAGACATTAACTCCAGCATTCTTGCACCCACATATCAGTCTTTACTTTGATGGATCGCAGGAACCTAAAAAAAAATATCCATACTCCAACATCAGTTTTTACGGTTTACTACTCTGAAAACCCAAACCTCTCTCCTGTCAATGGAGCCCTGAAAGTCTTACAACCTTGCATTATTTTCCATGGCCAGATGTTAGTGTTTCGCCAATATCAGAGGAATAGGAATCTGCTTGTGAACATGCGTCCAGGTGACCATTCCCTGGTGAGGAAAGACATCCGACAGTGAGCACACCAACAAATCTATTTGGTAATGTGTACTAAAGGGTGCATAGATTGTTAGTTAACTGGGAAGATGAAAACACTTTAAACTGATATGGGCAAATTTCAGCGGCGACATTTTTGAAATGTGTTGTTTTCAATTAGTGTGCCATAAACTAGATCACATAGCACGTCAATTGGAAAACTCAATAACATGCTTTGGGTCACTTACCAAAATGTCCATGTAAAATTTGAAATAAAAGCATTCACATGCTGTAGTTGAAGACATTCAAAAATGGAAAGGTGACAACGCCGGTTGCATGCAAAAAGAGCAGTGATATAGCGTGAACAATGCAGAATTGCTCAGACAATATGCCACCACTCACCAAATCACTGTCACTCCAGACACACACAATGGTGCAGCTTCCTCTGTACCCTAATGGTCTACTGGTTGGGAAATGCACTGTAGAAATGGTCAAACAAGTGCTCCGTGAAATGTCGGTCACAGACACAATGCTATATGCAGGAACATCCAAAAAAAACTATGAAGTCATCCAAGCACACTTGTCAGATTGGATGTTTTCTACTGTCCAGTGTTTCATGCGGTTTCCCATACTGTTCCTTGCCATGCTGCAACAATGCAAAAGTGTCGTGTCTGGGTCTGTTGCACTGCATTTTTCTGCAGGCTATTCAACTTGGCAGCACGCAGACATGGATTTGTATGTCCCATTTTTTTTATAGACAAAATGATGTCATATCTGGAAAATTTGGAGGGGTATAGAATTGTGCAAAGTGACGCACAGGTGAAGGATGCCTATGAAGCGGATGTGGACATTAAGGAGGTTGTCAAGACGTTGAATGGTTTGAAGAACATCGATGTTGTGGTCTCATCAACATCAATGAGCATATCTCCCATATTCCACTTTCATAGCACCGCTGTGATGAACTTCATATCAGGCGATGGATTTTTCAGCGCATATCCCAAGCTCACAGGGATGTATCGCTCACTCACCAATGCCAATCATTACACCCTTTTTGACTATACGACTCCTCACACAAATATTGTACGAGGGTACCTGAAATACATTAACAGAGGGTACAATTTGCGAGTTAATCCTTGTGCTTGAGAGAACAAAAACGAGTGACCGCACCAATGTTGCAAGGATTCGATTTGTCCCCATGCCTTATACAGTACAACAGACTCTGCATGTATGTTTTGGAGGATCCAACATGGAGACTACACTATATGCATAAAAGATGGTGACGACAAAGTTAGGTGCTATGGAGGAGCACTGGTGTGGTTACTTGGAGGTTATACCTGCTCTGGATCATATCAAACTTTGCATCCGTTTACCACAACTATGGGTAGTAGCTGCCCCATACAACCAGCTCAGACGATACAAATAGTGCTACAAAGTTTTTTTAATAGAAATACAGGCATATTCATAACCAGCACCCCATTGCTCTTAACAGTGTATTCAGACATTCAACCAGATCCAAAAGAAACTTGGGGTCCAGGTCTGCCCCAGAGGGCAATGTTATCAATAGTGTCCTGACAAGAAAGGAAAGCTTTCAATATTGTTTGACATATATAGTATTAGTAACTGCTGTCACGCTTCACAGGACCTGTCACCAGTCTTGTCAGCCTATTAAAAAGTACTCGGCTATTATTTAGGCTGACTTTGTGACTTGGAAGCGCTCAACTCCCTCTCCCATATGCATAATAGAATGAACTTTGCATCACTTCCAAATCAGCATCAAATTCTGAAGAAGCCTTAAGGAAGCCACATGGCGAATTCTGTGTAAGTTATTGATTTCGGACCAGCTCGGTTTTAGTAGGAAATGGCAACAGCAGTATGCAATTGTCCAAACTCTTCATATCATAATCTGATAGGTCTGATCATCGAGTCCCGTTAACATGGTCAACAGTGGGGTGGGGGCCCGCTGAACAGTATTGGGCATATATAGATCCATTTGCAAATTAATGAAGAGCAACTTTGGAACTCCTGTGTCAGACATCCAACGCTCAAAGGACATCGCCTTCCAAATGGCACAATGCACAGAGCTCTCAGGCTGGTAAGTAGTAAGTACTGTCACAGGTCATATGAAGCGCTGAAGTCCGTCCGTCTTCCATATTAAAATGAAGCCTCTTGATCAGATTCTGAGGAAGCCTCATAGTGATATGCCACCATGATAGATATCACCCGTTTATAAGTTACTGCGAACCAGACGTCTGACAATAGGACCCCTGATAATCCCTATGGAACCTTGATTTGTTGCTTTGGATTTTTGTCCGGACACAACCTCCAGAAATTGAACACAAATTGTCCGGATCTCCGGTAAGGTGTCATAGTTTAGTAAAATTTCTGAAAATTTTTGAAAAATTGTCCGGACAGGTCAACAAGGTAATGAGATTTGTTATCTGCTAAATTTGTCCAGACTTGCAAACAAAGATTGGTATAGGAGTAAAAAAGGCGCAAGGCAGGTAAGTAAGGACCTCTATACAGTCAAATCACTTGTTTCCTGGCTTCAAAACTTCCTGCTCAGACTTTTTTTCCCCGCGTTGTCAGAACATCTTCAAAGCTTTCTTGAATTTGTCCAGCTCATGAGAAAATATGTTGAGCATCTTGTAGTCCTCATTACCAATATGGATATAGTTTCCAAAGACCTTGACCGGTTTCATTCCAAGGGATTGAAAATAGGAGACTTGATAGTTAAATCCATGTGGTGTATATTGTGGTTCGGTGAAGGGTACTACAAAAATTTCTATCAAAATATTTATTTGGCCCACAAGATTGTGCCATAAAATCCAAAGTGTGTAAAAACCAAGAGTTAATTACTCTGGCGCACAACTCAGACAAAGCTTATAAAGGTAGTGAGGGGAGTGGTTACCCTTAGGATAGGACCAAGTTAGTTGTGGTAAACAACAGTAGGACTGGCTAAGGAGTCTCCTGGATCTATTGGGTATTTATACTACTACAGTATACAACTACAGTTTTGTTTGTACATATGTACTATACAGTTGATGGAAGCAGTGGCTGATGATGTCGTAGAGCGCAGCCCATGTGACCAGCTCCACTGCGTGAGATACTTGTAGCTAAGAATAAGGAAGGCAGCGCGGCGCGAGAAAGTAGAAGTCTGACCAAAAGGGAAGTGCCGCGTGGCGCGAGTGCGTGAGAACTCTTTGAGAAAAGAAAGTTAGAACAGAGAAAGAAGTTTGTAAGTCCGAAAAATTGTGTATCGTAACATAGTGCAGAAAGAAAAATAATTGATCATTGAGATTCAAACCATGTAGTATGGACAGCTAAGTATAACAAAGAACATAACTTTACCGGTACACTAAGTCATGCTGTACAACTTCTTCATATCTTGACTCTAATAGACCTCCTTCGATGTCGGGATAGCTCAACAAGGTTCTGGTCCGGTCAAGGTT